AAGAAAGAAAGAAAGAAAGAAAGAAAGAAAGAAAGAAAGAAAGAAAGAAAGAAAGAAAGAAAGGAAGGAAGGGAGAGAGGGAGGAAGGGAGGGAGAGAGAGAGAAAGAAGGAAGGAAGGAAGGAAGGAAGGAAGGAAGGAAGGAAGGAAGGAAGGAAGGAAGGAAGGAAGGAAAGAAGGAAGGAAGGAAAGAGGGAGGACAGAAGAGAAAGAAAGAGATAGAGAAAGAAAGAAAGAAAGAAAGAAAGAAAGAAAGAAAGAAAGAGAAGAAAGGGAGGAAGGGAGGGAGGGAGGAAAGAGAGAGAGAGTGTGGGAGGAAAAAAAGAAAGAAAGAAAGAAAGAAAGAAAGAAAGAAAGAAAGAAAGAAAGAAAGAAAGAAAGAAAGAAAAAAAGAATGAATTCTGGAAAGAAGGAAGGAAAAGAGGAAGGAAGGAAGGAAGGAAGGAAAGGAGGAAGGAAGGAAGGAAAGAAGGACGGAGGAAGGAAGGAAAGAGAAAGAAGAAGAAAGAAAAGAAAGAAAAATAAGGAGGGAATAAAGAAAAGAAGAAAGAAAGAAAGAATTCACTTTCCAAAAGTAGAAAAAGGGCTGGACACAGAGAGTTGTGTCAGTCCTGAGGGGGACAAGGAGTTTTACTGGGACTGAAGGAAAGGGGGGCTATACTTGGGTCCTTAGGGTGATCTAGCTGTTGGTCCTTGGGTTGTTTTGCCATCTCTGGGTGTCATATCTGACTGCTGTGGTCTGCCACGTATTTGTCCTTTGCTTTGGTGCCAACTATAGAAGGATGTTACAATCTTTATGAATAAAGGCAAGAACTTAGAAAATACAAGGTCAGTCATCTGCCATGAAGTCAAGAAAGGACCAACTTGCAGGAAGCAAAAGGGAGCAGGAGACAGAATGTCTGAAGCACCTGGGCGTTTTAATGAACCTCCCCATTAAGGTGGCAGCGTAACAGTGAATCAACCCAGTGCCAGGGAGACACAGAGACACAGTTAACTCCTTCCAATGCCTTAAGGCACTTGGGAAACTTTTAACCCTTTCACTAATTTTATATTATTTTTCTTAAAAAAAAAAAAAAAACTCGCTCCCAAATTATATAAACTTCAGGTCCACTAATTCTGTGTTCACCCCTACTGTTGTCAACCTGATCCCTCAACTCTCATTAGGTAATCGAAAGCTTTTCTTCCATTTTTTTTCCCAATTGAAACAGACAGACAGAGAGAGAAGAAAGCACCTTCTAGTGGTGAGTGGTCATGTCAAGATCCTTTCTCCCCCGTTTCTCCATCAGTCAGGATTTGGAGCATGTACACTGTGGACAGAAATAGCCAAGTCTGTAGAAATAATAACTAATGCAGTTTACCACTGAGCACAAAATTGAGTGGCATACTTGGAGAGAGACGAGTATGTACCTACATATCATGGTTTCCTTTTTAGCTCTGAGAGCAGGAGAGCTGTCAATCAGCATAAGGAATCCTTTACATTGGCCTGGCCCAAAAAGATGGGACATCTGGAAGTGGAGGCTTGTAGGTTATTGGTGAGTTTGAAATTCTCAGGTTGGTGATTAGAAAAGAAGGGCTAGGGGTAACAGGTGACATAGTGGTTAAGGAGCTGGACTCCCACGTGGGCAACTGCAGTTCAAATCCCAGACCCAGAGGCTTGAAACTCGCAGAGAGCATGCACGTGCACGCTCAAGATCCCAAGAGGAGAATGGAGAAGAGATTGCAGTGTGACCATCCCCTCTGGGGGGTGATTTCTCGCTTTCTGTCTCTATGTCTCTCTCTGTCTGTCTGGTGAGCGCACACGCCCTATAGCGAAAACCTCTCAAAAAAAAAAAAAAAAAAAACCTCTCAAAAAAAAAAAAAAAAAAAACCTCTCAAAAAAAAAAAAAAAAAAAACCTCTCAAAAAAAAAAAAAAAAAAAACCTCTCAAAAAAAAAAAAAAAAAAAACCTCTCAAAAAAAAAAAAAAAAAAAACCTCTCAAAAAAAAAAAAAAAAAAAACCTCTCAAAAAAAAAAAAAAAAAAAACCTCTCAAAAAAAAAAAAAAAAAGAACACTTACTTACATTGTTTGTAGACATGACTCCCCGTAGGCCCTTTGGAAAGGATTTTGGAAATAGGAAAGAGTAGTCAGAATTCCATCCTCAATACACATGCACCCAGCATGATTTTCAAGCCTCCAGGACCAGGATCCAGCTACCTTAATCACTATGCTATGGGGCTGGTGCTTACACTTACCAGAGAGAGAGAGAGAGAGAGGAAGGAAAAGTGAGAAATCACACATTACTATCTCCTCCAGTCTTGTCTTGGTGTTTTGGGCATGCACACACAGATGCCTGGTTTGATTTTCAAGCTGCCAGTTCAGGGACTCAAACTATGCAGTTGGCCATGTGAGATCCAGTGCCTTAAATTTCATGCCACCTGCTGGCCCCACAATAATTTTTTTTTAAGTAAAATCATGTCTCCCATAGGAATTTAAAATGAGTATGTGTTCACTGATTAGTTCATTAATTTATTCTGTACTATTCTAATTTCTCAAAATTAAAACTAAAACATTTTTTCTTTTAGTTTTTTTTTTAATTGCCAAATTGCACACCTGGCTCCCCAGAGAGCAGAAAGTACTACACAATGGGGCGTGGTCACAATATAATCCTTTCTTCTCCATTTCTCCATCCTGTTGGGATTATTTTTTTTTTTTTTGAGAGGCTTTTGCTATAGGGCACATACACTCACCAGAAAGACAGAGACAGAGAGACAGAAAGCGAGAAATTACCCCTCAGGGGGGATGGCCACACTGCAATCCCTTCTACTCTATTCTCCTCTTGGGATCTTGAGCATGCACACACACTCATTGGGTGTGAGTTTAAGCCACTGGGTC